TTCATATTTCATCGAAAAGAACACAATTATATGTGTATGTATTCTAAAATATCCTAATTCATAAGTATTCCACATTTACAATGACACTTCCAAAAAAAATATTTTCAATCACTTCACAACCCTCTCTCGCCATACTACATAGGCCCTTTGACTCTCATAATCTGCATCATCTGGACAATTAACATTAATAATACAAATTCCTTGAATAAAAAATAAAGAAGACATGCCACTGCAACAGTTTTTTCAATCATAGAAACGAAGGTAAATAGGGCAGTAAAATGTTAGTATCAAACAAACAATATGTACAGTGTGAAATACAAACTACTTATAGGAAAATATTAACAAAATAGTCTAATTATTTTACAATCAACATGGTATCTAACACTAAAAAATCAAGTTCTAACTACTGAGAATTGGTTTACAAAAATCAAGATTCAACATTACAAAAAGATTCAATATCAACAGAGTAGCCCAGTTATTTCACAGTCAATATGGTAACTAACACTAAAAATCAAGTACTGACAACTGAGAATTGTTTTACAAAAATCAAGATTTAACATTACAAAAGGATTAATGAAATCCTAAGTTTATCATCAAAATTAAACAACACTAAATAAAGTGGTTAATATTTTTCTAATACAAAATTATGAGAAAAATTCAATCAAATTGTCTTAAGTGCCTAAGAGACATGTGTTTAAGAAGTTAACACAGTTTGTTTGCTTACGTCAACATTTTAAGCATATTCTCCANAGATTGTCTTAAGTACCTAAGAGACATGTGTTTAAGAAGTTAACACAGTTTGTTTGCTTACTTCAACATTTTAAGCATATTCTCTATCGTTACTTGCACCACCTTCACTAATCAATTTTCTTTTTCTATGCTGCCAAATAAATTGAAGGAAACACCGTGAAGCTGTAATTTTTGGGTTCAACAAGACACATAAAGGTATCAATTATTAGCAAAGCCTAAGATAGGAAATGACGTATGAAATAAGTTAAACAATTATTAAATTATTAGCGAACTAATCTAATTTCAAATCCTTAATAGAAATTGCATTAATCTATCATAAGTAAACACAGTGTAGCAATTTAAGAAGGAAACAAAAAATTTAAGAAAANCAAACTAATCTAATTTCAAATCCCTAATAGAAATTGCATTAATCTATCATAAGTAAACACAGTGTAGCAATTTAAGAAGGAAAACAAAATTTTTTTAAAAATTAACTAAGAATTAATCAAGTTAACAAAACCTATAATATGTAAGAATGGCTAAGGAAACCAATACATAATTTGGACAATATGTTCCAAAAGCTTAACTTTTTAAAATCAAATTAGGCTAAATACCCTTTTGAATTCATAATAAATCTCGCTCTCATATCACACCAAATCTAAATTCAGCATTGAATTAATTAAGTGAATTACTAAATTTTTTAAGTAGTCAAAACACCACAACATAATAATTCTCCTTGATGACGGTATGAAGTTGTGTGTGTGTGAGAGAGATAAGTGTAAAAGTGAGAGTGAGGGGTGAGGAACTCAAATGTGTTCGAATTAAATAGATTAACAATATGCAAAAATATTACCAACAATATAGTGTTTATCGCTCTAACCGAAATACCAACTCATTCACTCTAAGAAAAGTGGTTGAATTAATCTCAAGCTATCACGCATTATTGATATTTCTTGTGGTAACAAACCCAACATGATATTTCTCGTGTTATCGATATTTCACTGATAACACTTACATGGTAATATCTGTGAAACCCATTGCGTGCCAAGGGAAATATAAACAAATGTGTAAAATTTTCGTGTTAATGGTTAAAAATTTGCAAGACTCGTTAATGAATAATGCAAAATCACAATAGAAATCAATATGAATTAATTTGGTGAATTAAATTTATTCTGTAATAACATGTTGGGATATCAATTACGTGATTTATTGCTTGTTGGAAAAGCGTTTCTAATAAGCAAAATTTGTATTCAATTTTAAGAGAGATTGAATTTATTGCTTGTTAGAAACTCTAGTTAGTCACATTTTGCATTAGATTCTTGATTATTTTGATGATTATATCATGATTTGGCTAAAGATGGTTTTTCTATCTGCATTAGGAGCTCCATAATTAAGAGAAGGAAGATAACCGAAGAGNTTTGGCTAAAGATGGTTTTTCTATCTGCATTAGGAGCTCCATAATTGAGAGAAGGAAGATAACCGAAGAGGCAATATGTTTTATGAATAAATTAATTACCAGTATATAAAAAACAATCAATACAACATATCAATTAAGTAAACCAATTTTTTTCCACTAGAACTACCTCTTTTCTTTCCCCTTCATCAAAGATGGATCGACACTTAGGCTGTTCAAGTGATTCACATTTGCATTAGCCTAAGAAGTACAAAATAAGGTATTAGTCAGAAAATGCACACTAAAATTAAAATGAAATTTTTTGACAATATCAAAATTATTACCTTGTCTATTTGCAATTTTATTTAGCACACGTTTAGACAAAACATGAACAGGTATATTGTTGCTCTCAATTAGATCAACATGTAAGAGCAGCCTTAATAAATTAAATTATAGACATAATGAAATTTACAAAGTGTAGGCGCAATGCAATTAATTTTATCAATTCGCGAAGGTTCAAATACATTTATAAAAAATAATGATTTGAGACTTAGATACGACAAAATAATAGTTTCTACAATACCAATGATAGTAGCAGGCAAGAAAACAAAACAAATACTCGTATAACCAAATATGGTGAGCTCAGAAAAATCAGAATTGTGCCTACAAAGTTAATTAATAAAACAAAGCAATTAACTATAAACAATTTAACCAAATTAAACTAATAATTAACCAAGTGAGAGTAAAAGAACATACAATCACAAAAGGGTAGGATTCACGCAAACAACCAAAACAACAAAATTTAAAAAGTAATGAATGTAACAAAGACTGTGAATTTATTCAATTAAAAAGTGAACTAATCAAACTAAGCAATGGTGCAATAATATTACCTCTTGTTAGAAGTTGTCTTTTCTTTTCCTTTAGATTTTGGGGACGATATTTACGATTAAAAAAATGTAACTTAGAGAACTAAAACCCAACAAATGACACACACATTAAAAGATGAATGAAATGAGCATTTAGTTTTTTTTTCTTTTTGCATTCCCTTGGAACAATTCATACAACCTCAAGTACAATTGAATAATTATTTGTTGCTGCCTTCCTTTTCCCAGGTATAAAAAGAAAATTGGAAACATGAAACTCAAGCATTAATAGAGGAAAAGGAAAATTTTGGNTTGTACCTTAGAATTAATCCGTGAGATTTATTTACCACTTCCTCTTGTATCATAAACCCACTCATTTTATGTGTAACCCTTCACCAACTAGTAAGGATCTTCGGATGTTAAAAAATTACCAGCAGAGGAGCCGGACAACCCCCCCNTGGAGGAAAAGGAAAATTTTGGGCATTAAGCAATTAAGAGAAAGAAATTATGAAAGAACCTGTGTAAATTTACATATTGTTGACACCTAATGCGAATTATATATAATAGGGTTATGCTCTATTCAATTAATGAAANCCCCCCCTCTCTCACCTAGTCACCTCCCTCTATTTGACAGGCTTGGGGCTCTTGAACAAAAATCATTAAGTTCTTCACTTTCTCAGGTAAAATATAAGAGTATTGTTATATTTACTAGATTTTTTATTTTAAATCAGTATAAAATGTTAGATTAGTAAATTTTACTCACTCACACTAAATATTGAATACATAAAAATTTGCCACATTATTTGAAATATAATATTTGATAAACTTATTTTGGATATATTATTTTATTAAAAATATAAAGATAAAAATACGATGTCAAAATTTATTTTTAATATATATGAAAAAATAATTTTTAACCGTTGTTCTTACTTATTTTCAATTGTGATTAACAATGATGAAAATAAAAAGTAACATATTACACCTTTCGTGTGTTTATTAAAATAAAATAGAATAATAGNTTCACCTTTATCCATATAAATCTGCATAAAAAAAATTCCAACCAAATGCATGCATTTAATTAACATCTATATTAGCTCCATATAAAAACTACTATAACAAAAGTCCAAAAATCAAAGAAAAATTAAAACATATCAAGTTGATTGGTTTTTTTTTCTTTTTGCATTCCCTTGGAACAATTCATACAATCTCAAGTACAATTGAATAATTATTTGTTGCTGCCTTCCTTTTCCCAGGTATAAAAAGAAAATTGGAAACATGAAACTCAAGCATTAATAGAGGAAAAGGAAAATTTTGGGCATTAAGCGATTAAGAGAAAGAAATTATGAAAGAACCTGTGTAAATTTACATATTGTTGACACCTAATGCGAATTATATATAATAGGGTTATGCTCTATTCAATTAATGAAATTTATTTTTCATACACAAAATGGTGTCAAATTAATTATAGACGAATATTTGTAAGTATAAATTTATCTCATCCTCATGTTCAAAACATTTTCACCTCACGTACTTTAATTTATGATAAAAAACTAAAAGACAATTTAAGTCAAGTCCACGTTGCTATCAATTCATAATATTAACAGTGCAAAATTAGATTTTTAATATTTAGAGCTATAAATTAAAAATAAAAATATATTTGGGGGTACGAAATAAAATTAGCGCACCAGAAATCATGTAAAGCCAAAAGCCCCACAACAAAGTACNTGTCAAAATTTATTTTTAATATATATGAAAAAATAATTTTTAACCGTTGTTCTTACTTATTTTCAATTGTGATTAACAATGATGAAAATAAAAAGTAACATATTACACCTTTCATGTGTTTATTAAAATAAAATAGAATAATAGAAGTGTGGTAATGAAAAATAACAATATAATTGGAATTTAATTTATTGACTTAATTATTAGAATTTAATTTATTAGTCTAATTCACTTAATTGAATATAACCTTTGGATATAATATGACTGACCGACCCACCGACCTCCCATTGCAGAAGTGATTTGTTCAGGACAACACACCGAAGTTTCCTAGTAACTTCCTTGCAGAAGTGATTTGTTCAGGTATATATAGGAGACTGACAATAGAGGAGGTCAGTATAACCTGAGAATCAATCTGTCTCCCTCTCTCCCTCTCTCAGTGCTGTTTTTGTGTTTGATTGCAGAAAAAGAGCAAGAACAACAATGGGCATCCTTGGTTTTGCAGGTACGACAAATCCATAGATTCAACGAATTTTCGTTTCATGATTTTCGAAGATTACGTTTCCCTGACATGTATGAGTTCTCATGTTGAAAGATATGAAAAATGACAAGAAGAAGAAGAATGGCGACGGCGGCGGAGAACGGAAAACGAAGAAAGATGCCATAGACAAGCCAAAGGAAAAGCTAGAACAGAAGAAATCCAATGAGGTTGTAGTTACTGTGATCGCGCATTTAAGCAAAATAAAATTAATATTCATCGAAATTATTAATCTATTTGCTTCTCTGTTCCATTGATTTTATTGTAATCTTTTTTTTTTTTTTTTTGTAGTTAGTCCAGCCTCAGTTGGCAACTGCGATGCTGAAGGTGCATTCGCATTGCGACTGCGATGGATGTACCGAAAACATTCAGAAAGTAGTCACCAAGACAATTGGTAACATTTTAAAACCTCCCTCTTTTTCCATTACAATTTTTTTTTTTTTTTTGTATTTGTACCAGACCGTGACGGAGTATTCACGGCGTTTACTGCTATAGGATATCATCAGATGGCCATCGACGGCGCAAATGGTCAAGTGACAGTCAAAGGGTCAATGGACATGAACGCTCTGGCCAAGTCACTGGAGCAAAAGCTGAAGCGTTATGTTGAGATTGTTCCACTTTCACCTCAGAAGGAAGATGAGAAGAAAGAGAAAATCGGATGTGATCACAAAGAAAAGGATGGAGGAGAGAGAAATATTGGTGGCGAGGGTGACCTAGATGGCGAAAATACAGAAAAAAGATATGGTGAGAAGAATCATATGTAATTCATATCAATTATTTTGGGCTTTTACTGATATTTGGTGACTCAGTAGATTGATTTGTTGGTCTGTCTCTGATTTGTGTATAAAAAGGTGATGAATTTGCGAAATACGTCAATGGCGACACGAAGAAACCGACGGTGATCGGAAAAGTAAATCCGGCTGAACTCCGACCAACGGTGGATCAGAAGAAGGGCAAGAACAATAACAAAGGCGATGAAGGAGAGAATGAAGTTAAACAGAGGATCACGGTGATTCGGACGGAAACCAAAAAGGCCATCCGTGGATTTCCACGTACGACAAATCCTTAGATTCAACCAATTTTCGTTTCATGATTTTGGAAGATTGCGTTTGAATTCACTGTTTCTAATTTATCTTTCGATTTTCACATTGTCTTCTCAATTGTTATCATTGATTTTTCATTCTTCGGCTGTTCTGTTTTTCAAAATCTCCACCATTTTCTCCCTATTTTCCGAGATCAAGCACAGATCAACACCATTTTTCTTTCTGATTTCAACTGGTACTTACTATCTTCCAATACGTCACCTGATTTTGTGATTTACAAGGTTTAGTTTGAATTTGCAATTCAGTAAAATGACTTGTTGGTTATTTTTTTTTGCCTGATTTGTATGGGTGAAGGTGTGGAATCTGTAATACACGACGAAGGCAACACGAACAAACAGACTGTAATCAGAGAAGAACATCCGTCGAGATTCGGAGAAGCAGTTGAAAATGTCCAGCAGGCCTCTCCTTTGCCAACAAAAGATAAGAAAAATGACAAGAAGAAGAATGGCGACGACGGCTGCGGCGGCGAAGAACGGAAAACGAAGAAAGCTGCCATAGACAAGCCAAAGGAAAAGCTAGAACAGAAGAAATCCAATGAGGTTGTAGTTACTGTGATCGCGCATTTAAGCAAAATAAAATTATTATTAATCGAAATTACCAATCTATTTGCTTCTCTGTTCCATTGATTTTATTGTAATCTATTTTTTTGTTTTTGTAGTTAGTCCAGCCTCAGTTGGCAACTGCGATGCTGAAGGTGCATTCGCATTGCGACTGCGATGGATGTACCGACAACATTCGGAAAGTAGTCACCAAGACAATTGGTAACACTTTAAAACCTCCCTCTTTGTCCATTACAATTTTTTTTTTCCAGACCGTAACCGAATATTGTCGGCGTTTACTGCTATAGGAAATCATCAGATGGCCATCGACGGTGCAAATGGTCAGGTGACAGTCAAAGGGTCAATGGACGTGAACGCTCTGGCTAAATCACTGGAGCGAAAGCTGAAGCGTTATGTTGAGATTGTTCCACTTTCACCCCAGAAGGAAGATGAGAAAAAAGATAAAAGCGGATGTGATCACAAAGAATAGGATGGAGTTGTTACTTACACATTTTTAATATATTTTTACATAATGTTTGAAGTAATTATTAGGAAATTATTTTTGTAAGTTAGGTTATTGATAGAATAATTTGTGGATAATTTCTTAGGTGGTTATTAAAAGAGTGGAGTCATGAGTAAGTTAGTTATTAGGATAGTTTTATTATCTTGTATTTAAAGGTTTTCTTATCAATGAAATAAAGATAATAAATATTATATTGAACTTTTTTGTAAAGTTTTGTAGATAAGTTATTCTCGAATTAAACCATGGGAGGTTTTCGTCCTCTCAAAGTAGGTTTTCTTTCTCAATTTTATTTGGTTTTGTTTTATGAATCACTTAAAATCGTGCATGTAACAGGAGGAGAGAGAAATATTGGTGCGAGGGTGGCCTAGATGGCAAGAAGACAAAAAAAAGCTATGGTGAGAAGAATCATATGTGATTGACATTTGGTGACTTAGTGGATTGATTTGTTGGTCTATCTCTAATTTGTGTATAAAAAGGTGATGAATTTGCAAAATACTACAATGGCGACACGAAGAAACTGACATTGATCGAAAAAGTAAATCCGGCAGAACTCCGACCAACGGTGAATCAAAAAAAGTGTAAGAAGCTCCAAAGGGTCTCTCCAATATTGCCAGGGGAAGACAAGAACAACAAGAAAGAGAATGGCGGTGGCAGAGAAGAGAGGAAGGAGAAGAAGCAAGAGGCCAAACCCAAGCCAAAGGAAAAGCCGGAAGTGACAAAATCGACGAAATCTAATGAGGTAGTTAATGAAGAGATCTTTGTTTATTTGGTCTATTTTATGTTTTAATAAATCCTAGTCTTTAAGATGAGTCCTAGTCTTTAAGCATGTTGTTATTCATTTTATTTTATCAATCACGTAGCTAAGATAAAGCTAACGTGTGTTGTTTTTATGCTTTATGTTAGAGTTGTAAATGGCTATAAAAGCCAAGTTGAGTCTTCAATAAAAGTGGTCAAGTTATTCAATCTTTTTTGTTGAGCTCTTGTGATTACATCAAATTGATTCCAACATATTGGTATCAGAGCCAACACTTGGCATGAGAGAGAGGGAATTCGTAGTCTTTCTGACTTGCACACACACTGGGGAGTTTAAACACGGGAGTTTGAGAGATGTCGAGTGCAAGTGAAGGTCAATTCGTCCAACCAGCCATGCTGTGCTTTGATGGTCATTACGATCATTGGAGTATGCTTATGGAGAACTCCTTAAGGTCGAAAGAATACTGGAGTTTGGTCGAGAAAGGATATGATGAACCGCAAGCAAATGCAATTGTGACAGAAGCACAACAAAAGAGGCTCGATGATATGAAACTCAAGGATTTGAAGGTCAAGAATTATCTGTTTTAGGCAATAGACATAACAATTCTTGAGACTATCCTACAGAAGAACACGTCGAAACAAATATGGGATTCGATGAAAAAGAAGTACGAAGGGAATGCTAGAGTAAAGCGTTCAGTCCTTCAAGCCCTGAGGAGAGAATTTGAGACTCTCGAAATGAAATCAGGTGAATGTATTACTAATTATTTTAGTAGAGTTATGTCAATAAGTAACAAAATGAGATTTCATGGGGGGCAAATGCATGATGTCACCATTGTAGAGAAAATCCTTAGGTCCTTGACAGACAACTTCAACTATATTGTTTGTTCTATCGAGGAGTATAAGGATACTGACACACTCACTTCATTAAATTTTTAACTACGCCATTATTTTTATTAACTCCTGATGATAAATTTTTGATTCCGCCCCAGTATTTAAATTTTTTTTTTCGTTGGAAGAGTCGCTGCACTTGAGTCTTAAAGTTGCAGCAACATAATTTAAAATCTTCCAATAGAATAATGATACATATGTTTCGCTTTACAGCAGACCACCTTCATTAGTTTTGTTTTACAGTAATGTTGGTTAGGTTATGAATTTCACTGCCCTCGCTTGTTCTATCCATTGCTTTATCCTTTATGTGGCCGCCCTTCACATAAGTTGATAGAATAATGGCACTGAAAATAAGTTTTTAGTACCGTATTTTATATTTTTTTTATTAATTACAAAAAGGACTAATCTCATTTCACACTCCAATATGATTTAATTTTCAATTTGCAATCAAACATTAAAAATTTTAATTTATACCTTCAAAGTTATGAATTAGTAGCAAGATGGAGTTAGCCCAAATTGTCATTCAATTTTTCGTTATAAATTGAAGTACAAGTGTTTTGAGCATAAACTTATGTGTAAATTCACAAATTGTTGGTGCCTAACGTGAATTGTATATAATAGGGTTATGCTCCATTTAATTAATAAAACCTATTTTTCATACACAAAATTGAGTCAAATTAATTACAGACGTATATCTATTACCTCATCCTCATGCTCAAAATATTTACACCGCACGTACTTTAATTTATGATGGAAAATCAAATGGCAATTTGAGTCAAGTCCACATTGCTATCAATTCACAATATTTAGAGTGTAAAATTAGATTTTTAATATTTGGAGCTATAAATTAAAAATAAAAATATTTTTTAGAGGAACAAAGTGAAATTAGTGCATCAGAAATTTCGTAAAGCCAAAAGCCCCACGACAACGACAAAGTACAACTGTCAAAAAAAGGACATGATCAATAAAAATTGACCGGAACAGTGGCGTCCATTCCTATCCAGTTCCGAAAAGATTCCCTGCCGGCAAGTGAGAATCATTCAGATTTTTCAACAAATTTGTTCTATCAGAATTGAATGATTCGTATTTTATAATTTGATTTATTTATGAGCAATATTATAAAAAATTAATTCAGAAACCCGATTCTATTAATAATTTAATTAATTATAAGTTTTGATATTAAATGGACTCCATTTTAATTGATTGAGTTATGATATTGAATTTCAAAATTAAGTTCAAATAATTTTTTTTTTCACTTATTACTATTATTTGGGGGATGTTTTTTTAGTTTGTACCTTAGAGTTAATCCTCTCGTATCGTAAACCCACTCATTTCCGTATAACCTTTCAACTACTATGGACCAATAGCAATTTTTCATCGTAACAGCTCACGAAAGCGAACTGCTAACCTTACTGGTAGTCACCACAATGTCTGCACGTGGCTAATTGTTTTCCAAAAGTACCAACCATTTTGTGAAACACGTGGATGCATATACAAAGCTTTAAAGGACATATCAGTAAATTGACCCAAGTCCACTCAAGTTCTCTACTGTGGGTTGATTGTTTTTTGGCGGGCGGACTAAAAGACCTTTTCATCTTTTTTTTATTCCACTTTATTTTCTTATCGTACCAAACAAGGAAAGCTTTTCTTACCTATCCTATCAAATAGAGGGTAAAAGTTCAATTCGATAAGTTGATACTCAAGGGCTTTTTTGGTATTTTAATTTATAACATATTTTTCTCCTTTTTCCTAATTGAGGTCCGTTTAGTTAAAAAGAAAAAAAAGATATAAAATGAAAGTGATAAAAAAAATTAAAAAATATATATATTTTCTTATATGTATTTGATTAGGATGAAAATTTTGTAAGAAAATTTCATTCTGTAGTTTGGAAAGCAAGAAAGTTACAAGAAATTTTATTTAATTATCTAAATTACCCTTATGTATAATTATTCAAAAGTGGTTCTACCCATATGACTACAGAACATAAAATTGACAATAAATTTTCTCTCTGTTGCTTTAACATATATTATTTTGTATTACAAATTAATTTATGATCATTTTTTTTTTCAAGTTAAGATATTCAGCTCACCAAACTTATAACACTGCGTTTGTTAACAAAAAATAAGATTTATATCACCCTAGAAAAAAAAAAGATACAAGTTCGTTGAATTGGTTTATTTTTTAATTGACATTGCGAGGCACAATTTGAGTTGCCCATATAACTCAATACCAATTATTACGTCCATAAATTAATAGAATATAACATTCATGCTATATACTCTAGATAGTTTGCTGAGAAGGTGAGTGCTAAGAGGAGTTATCGTGTGCTAAAATAAGAGCAGATTGGTAAACAGTGAAATAGATAACCAACTTTCATGGGAAAAAAAAAATTTCATGCAGGTTTTGTGGGAAATGAAAAACAATCAAATATGGGAAAATTTGATCATGCGGAAAAAAAAATTTTGTCGAGAAACATTCGTTTCCTACTAAACAAACGACAGATTTTTTATTTTTTTTCTCTTTCCCCCTTTTTTTATTGTTCTCTCGCTAATCAAACAAACCCTTAGGGTATAGATTCAGATTTTAATAATCATTCTTTACATTTACTCAAGATATATTATGATACGAATATAAATAAATAATATTAATGCGACCAATATATATATATTGCAATAGAATAGATGGTATAAGATATATTAAACAAATTCATAAATCTTAATTGACCAAAAAATAAAGTAAATTTCATTATTAAGGTACTTATCATGGATGGTTATGGATCATACTATTGTTTTTGCATGCAAAAAAAAAATTTTAATTAATTCAAATCCAATTATGTCTTGACCCATTCCCGGTCGCTAATATTTATATGAGTAATGTTATCGGAACTTAATTTATTGACATAATTTATTAACTTAATTTATTGTAACATTTGGATTGATTATAGACCCCATCAAACATTAAAATGTGGTGTTGATCCAATGATTTCTATAAAACTACATCATTATGTCAACAAATTATGTCAAATTTTTAAGTTTAAATAACATTATTCTATTTATATACACACTTCTAAACTCAATCAAGCCCTTGGCATGGCACGTCAAATAACAAATTTACTACAAATAGCATTAGTCTAACCAGATTATACATGGTCAAAGCTCTTATGAAATTGAAAATTAATAATGTTATGATAACCAAAACTTACACCAAATGACGTGAAATAGACAACTATTAAATGGGACTCACAATATGATGACCGTGATCCACTGCTACGATGACCGTCGTTCACTACCATCACTTATTTTTATCGTTATCTCATTCTTATATTTATTATCACTACTATCATCATCTCATTAATACCGTCAGCACTCACCACCACTATTGTTGTCCACTACCACTATCCGTCGTCACCCACCATCGCCATCAACCATTATCACCCACCCCCCACCACACCTACCACCACCACTACGTTTGTAATTTAATTTTAAATGTGAGTATAAATATGTTTATTGTTGACTATTTTTATTATTACTTTGTGTCTTCAGGTAATAATTAGTATTTAGATATTCAATCAATTTATCATGTTCAAATTAAATTAATATAAAAAAATATTAAATACCAAACCCTAAAAACTCATTAATCTGTGTGTGCAGATTGAGATATCGAATAAAATCAAGACGGAATTCATTATATTTTGTTATTGTATTTGAATATTATATTTTTTTTATTTATATTTGAATATTCTAACAATTTATCATGTGTCAACTTCAAAAATATAAGAAAAACATCAAAAACCAAACCCTAGGAAACTCAATTGAAATGTATGTACATATCTAATGTAGATCTAATAAGTCCGAAATTTTTTATGGAGACTAATTGTGTGAGGTAAAATGGCAAACAAAAATCATTACCAAAAAATTGGAAATTAGAGTGTGTTCATGTCGATAGACACTTACCGGGAAAAAAATGATTTGACGTAAGTAAAAACAAATTTTGGTGTCTTGCAAGCACTTGGACGGTGCTACACAACTTGAAATGACGGGTTTATAAAGTTGTGGGCCCATTTAACAGCTGGACATTCCACGTCATTTAATGTAAATTTTGACCACCAAAACTTATTGTTTAAGAAAAGTTAAAATAGTATACTTACTGGATAAGGGTTCGTTCATGAACTCACTGAATGTCACTTTTGGGGATGAATTTGAATAAATGATGAGAGAGAGTGTGTGTGTGTGTGTAACCGACATGTGCCAATTTCTTATTCAATGGGAAGGCTAGTAACTGTAAAGTACTGCGAAAAACAAAGGGAAATTTTCCAGTGTTTTCCTTTCTTACTTGACTATTCCATGAGAGAGAAAAGGAAACACGCAAAGGAAATTCCACCGCTGGAGACATGCATAAGCCGGCCAACACACCGAAGTTTCCCACTACCCTCCTCACCTTTGTTCTACGCAACTACTACTACTACTACTACTACTGGAAATAAGGGTGAATAACACTTTGTTCCCTCCATATGTTCAAATTATCAATTCATATTTTAACAGGTTAAAATTTCCATGTTGTACCTTGAATCAAATAAAAAGTAGCAACATCAGCCAAAATCAAATTGGTCATGGTGCTACGGAAACAGGTGTTGCTAACCGAACTAATCTATTTTACGAATTTACCTAGCAATCCATAATAATTATGGTAAACAAACTAGCTATCTTACTTCTATAGCATTTGTACCGATACATACAAAATACTCTTTCATTTTGTTAAATATTTTATATGCAAATTTGGTACTAAATTTTATTAGAACAGATGACATTATTACTTTTTTATTTGATTGATTGTCTATTGTGAAAGTTTTAATCTTTCAGAATATGAATTGAAAATTCAAATAAATTTTGGCCTGGGAAGTGTCATTTAACTTCATATCTAGAAAATTCTTCCGGCCCCTATAAGTATCTCTGCAGCTCTCTCTCTCTCTCTCTGTTCCAATACTTTCTCCCAGTCCCAACTCCGAGCCTGACAATGCAGGAGGTCAGTAAAACCTCTTTCTCTCTCTCTCTCTCTCTCTCTCTCTCTCTCTCTCTCTCTCTGACTTTGTTGTTTTTGTGCTTGGTTGAAGCAGAAGAGCATGAACAACAACAAAGGCGGTGAAGGAAAGAATGAAATCAAACAGAGTATCATGGAGCGTCGGACGGAAATCAAAAAGGCTATCCGTGGTTTTCCACGTACGACAAATCATTAAATTCAACGAATTTTCCTCCATTTTTCTATCTGTTTTTCTAGATCAAGCTCTGGTCAACACCATTTTTCTTTCTGATTTCCGCTGTTTCTCACCATCTTCCAATTCGTTACCAGATTTTGTGATCTATAATAAGGCTTAGCTTGAGTTTAATACTGATATGTTGCGACTCAGTAAATGACTTGTTGCTATTTTTCGGATTTGTATGGACAAAGGTGTGGATTCTGTGGAATGCTTCGAAGGCGACACAAACACAGTGACGACAATTCGAAAAGTCCATCTATCGAAACTCCGAGAACCGGTTGCCAAGTTGGAACAGGTCTCTCCATTGCCAAAGAAAGATGAATACAAAGACAAAGACGAGAAGAAGGAGCATGGCGGTAGCGGAGAAGAGAAAACGAAGAAAGACGCCATAGACAAGCCAAAGGAAAAGCTAGAAGAGGATAAAATGAAATCCATGGAGGTAATTACAATTAGCTACTGCTACTCCATATAGCGCGCCTGTTCCCGATTTTCTTTTCTTCTTCCTCTCGACCTTATCGTAATTTCATTCAAATTTCTTGATTTTTCATGGCTAAGGTAATTTACTTGCCACGATACAGAAATCCTCCATGTGGTTGCGCACTAAAAGTAAAATCGCATTAACTTCCATCGACACTATTAACAACTCGTTTTCGCCATTTTTTATTTGCATCAAGTTTATCAAATTGTTTGGTCTGTAAAGTCTCCGGTGATCACAACGGCGATACTGAAGGTGCATTTGCATTGCGATTGCGTAGGATGTACCAAGAAGATTCAGAAAGTAGTCACCAAGACAAATGGTAACATTTTAAAACCTCCCTCTTTTTTTAAGTCTTTTTCCATTACAAATACTCTTTTTTTTTTTTTGTATATGTACCAGACCTTAACGGAGTATTAAAGGCGTTTACTGCTATAGGATATCATCAGATGGGCATCGACCGTGCAAATGGTCTGGTGACAGTCAGAGGGTCAATGGACATGAACGTTCTGGCTAAGTCACTGGAGCGACAGCTGAAGAGAGATGTTGAGATTGTTCCACTTTTACCTGAGAAGGAAGATGAGAAGAAAGAGAAAAGCGGAGATGATCACGAGGAAAAGGATGGCGGAGAGAGAGAAACTGGTGGCGAAGGTGGCCTAGATGACCAGAAGACAGAAAAAAGCTCAGGTGAGGAGGATCATATGGGATTTATATCGAATTATTTTTGGGCTTTTACTAGTATGTGGTAACCCAGTAGATTGATTTGTTGGTCTATTTCTGATTTGTGTATAAAAAGGTGTTGAATCTGTGCAAGGTGGCGTCGGAGACACGCACAAACCGATGATAATCGGGAAAGAAAATCCGGTGAGCCACCCAACAACAGTCAAGCAGAATAAGTATAAGAAGGTCCACAAGGTCTCTCTATTGCCAGAGAAAGACGAGGACAAGAACAACAACAAAGAGAAAGGCAGTGGCATAGAAGAAAATAAAAAGCAAAAGGCCAAAGACAAGTCAAAAGAGAAAAATTTGAAGGAGGTTAGTTACTGTCCTCCGTATTGATCTTTTGATTTCTCTCAATTTCTTGACAGGTTTAGGCAAAATATACATCATTTGACCGCCCAATTCAACCGAAATTGATTTTCAGCAAAATCAATTTATTATTTGGATCGATTATGTATATATTGAATTGTTTTGTATTTGTAATTGTTTCAGCCTCGCATGACAACGGCGGTGCTGAAGGTGCATTTGTACTGCAATTGCATAGGATGCACCGAAAAAATTCAGAAACTGGTCACCAACACAATAGGTGAGATTATCAAACCTCAGCCTTAACACGTGTTTGTGCGTACGAGCTTAACGGAGACTTAACGGCGTTTACAGGGTATGATGAGATGACCATAGACAACGCAGTGGGCCTGGTGACAGTCAGGGGATCAATGGACATGAAGGTTCTGGCTGAGTCACTGAAGCAGCAGCTGAAAAAAGACGTTGAGATTGTTCCACCTAAGAACGATAGCGAGAAGAAAAAAAAAAGCGGCAGTGAGGAGTGTGGGGTAGAGGGAAAAACTGGTTGTGAAAGTGGCAGAGCTGGCGATAAGGAAAGTGAGAAGAAAGAAAAAAGCGGTTGTGAGAAGGAGATGAATGGCGGAGAGAGAAAAGCCGGTGATGGAAGTGGTAGTGAGAAGGTGGAGCAGTACCAATATCCGTACTACAGTCATGCCTCAGAGATGTTCAGCGATGAGAACCCGAATTCGTGCTCCATTTTGTGAAGAGCGAGGGGTAATACTAGATTGCATTTGGCTTCTTGATTTTAAAAGTCCATTCGTATGGATCACGTTAAAATTATAATTATTAAATTTAATTTTTGAATATATTTTTAAATTCATGTAACATTACTCTTTTACATAATACACTTTCATTTGTTATAATACCCACTTTATTTAGTTACCAAAAAGAAAGAAATAAAAATACCCGATTTGTTAAGACAACAAATAAAACGAGGGATTTATTTTGTACTAAATTTGGATTAATATGACGTGATTAGTGATATTGAGACGTTTGTGTGTTTTCTTTTTATCGAAAGATGAGTGATTTTGCTACTATGAGAATAAACATAATAGAGTTAAGTTATGATAGATTTATCTTTCATGAATAGTTTAGTTCTGACGTGAATAACTTGTTTTTAATTAGACCGAAGAAAAAATTAATCAAGTTGCGCATAAATTGACCCAATTATCTCAATTAATTTTCCTAAATTTCAATCATAGCTTACAAACTCCACTTCATGAATATTGAGTTTGAATTGAATTTTAATTAATTTGATTACCGAATGAATGGATTTACTATACTCACATAATAGATCCAACAATGATACACTCTAATCATCATTTTGGGATCAAATTAATAGTTCAAATGATATGACTAAAGATGTTGGCTCTAACCTAACAAATAAATGGGTCCTACTAGTCACTAGGTTTCTAATTGTATCTATGCATGTCAGATACAATTTGTTCTACATGCTCTTCTGGCAAATGCATGTTAGAATTTTTTTGAAGTTAGGCTTCCATTACTTAGATTTGTAGAAAAAAAAAAAAAAAGGGTTATAGATATAGTCCAATAACACATGCATTGTATGCTCAAAATTGTTAAATGATTTGTTTTGATGAATTTATGCATACTTTTTATTTTGATATGGTTGAAACAAAAGTGTAAGCATTTAGTGTCTAATAGCTTTCCAAAATGAAATGTCCATTAGACCCTCAAAGACAATATCATAGACTTGTCTAATTGAAAGTGCCCTACATATTGTTAAGAAAGTGAGGGGAAGACTAGTTGTAATTTCAACTTAATATTCAGTGTTCTAAATTTCGTATACAAGTTATTATATTCTTACATTAGGTACTAGAGCAATCATATATGGATCAAGAACCTAACCCATTTTTAAAACTACCATATTCCCTATTTAATTTTTTTCAAAAACATCTTTTTGTATAAAGGATGATCAATTAGTGTATTCAAAAAAAATAGTAGCATGACATTAAACATTTAATAATCAAATGGGAGATATTGTTTACATGGACAAATGTGGTTTCCTATAGAAGAAAATACTTGTTTGGGCAAATTTGATAACCAACAAGATGTAAATGATGCATCTTGTTGCGGATGTAATGCTATGCTTGAATCCACCTTGCATATTATTCGTGATTGCCCAAAAGCACAGGTTATTTGGAAGATGTTCCTGAATACTCAGGAAAGGGATATTGACAAGTTGGGCGATTTGCATTATTGGCTAAAGCCAAGTTGTAATGAAAGAAAGTCATCAAAGAGTGGAAAGGTGTAAAATGGTATGGAAAGATAGAAATCAGCAGAGCATTTTGAACACCATTTCCCCCCTTTCCCCCAATAAAAAATTGTTGCAAGGGAAGCCTAGCTTCTTGCCCTTGACCCCACCAAAGCTTTTCACGATTTTCATTTGGTTGCAGATGGAGTTTTTTCTAATCTAATTGGTTGGACTTTCCCTTTTGCAGGATGGAACAAGCTCAACACTGATGGATGCTCCAAAGGTAACCCTAGACCAGCGGGAATTGGTGGTATCATCAAGACTAACCAAGGCAAGTGGATTACTCATTTTTATGGGAGAATGAATGATAAAGGAGCATTCAAGCAAAGCTTTGGGCGATTTTGAAGGGGCTTGAACTCCTGCTTAGACGACAAGTTACCCATATCGTTGTGGAAATTGATTCGCTAAAAGATGTCAAGTTGCTTTCAGCTGATCCAGATGAGGTCCACTCAAGCAGAGCCATCATCAAGAGCTGCAAAAATATGATGTGTACTAACCATATCCACATTATCCACACCTTCAGAAAAGGAAATCAATGTACAGACACTTTAGCTAATCTCGGTGTTCAACAATTAGAGGTGTTCGTGGAGCTACATAATCCACCACCCCAGATGTCTAACGTCCTTATGGCTGATATGGCCAATATTGTTTATCCGAAGAACTCTATTTTGCGTATGTCTTTATTTTTCCTTTGCACCCAAAAAATAAAAAAAAATGCACTGTCCCACAACTAATGTCACGTGAATATTTATGATAATATACATTCGAAAATTTTTGCAAATAGTTGTTTTGTGAAATTGTCAAAAATTAAATTTTTCAATGATAAGTAAGAAATAGTTTTTGAATTTTATGAACTAAGTTTTTGTAATAACATCATACAGTAATAGAGTATTGATAATTAAAAATATAATATTAATAAGAACTTGTCAAATGATCTCATTTCATTAAATTTTTAACAATGCCATTATTTTTATTAACACCCTCTTGATAAATTTCTAATTCTGTCCCTGTATTTAAAATTTTTTTTTGTTGGAAGAGCCCCGCACTTGAGGCTTAAAGGCGCAGCAACATAATTTAAATTTTTCCAATTGAATAGTTATACATATGTTTCTCTTTACAGCAGACCCACCTTCATTAGTTTTGTTTTATTATATTGGTTAGGTTTTGAATTTCACTGCCTTCACTGTTCTATCCATTGCTTTATTCTTTATGTGGCCGCCCTTGGATGACAAATAATCTCGGACCACAAAGTCCATGCGTGACCGATTCAAACACTTTTCTCATTATAATACAAAATGCCTAACCTCTAAAATTAGACGTATTGGTCTTTTTAGATTTTTACGACTGTGATATGATATCAGATATCATAATAAAAGAATTTATGCATTCTATTTTTACTTATTTATAAAAAAAAAAAAGAATATAAAAAACAGCACCAATTACGAAAATATTCTCGAGTTCGATAATAAGTTCGCATTCACTTTTCTTCAAAGGTTAATTCGTTTGAAAGGTAGTGCTTGGAATAGAATTTATTGATCATTGTATAGTATATACTTGCAATTACAATATAATATTCGGTAAAAAAAATATATTCTATTTTTGCTTCTTGATAAAAAAATTGTCAAGTGACACTTTGTCATGTGTGTAAGACCACAAATCATTTGACAAGGATCTGGGCCATCCAGATGACGTTTTCCTTTTTTTCCGAACTGGGCCCGGATGACGTTTAGGTCACCAAAGACAGACGATAGAACAATGGTACTGAAAATAAGTTTTTAGTATCGTATTTTATATTTTTTTATTAATTAGAAAAAGACTAATCTCGTTTCACACTTCAAAAGATGCTTTGATTTTTAATTTGTATCATCAAACATTAAAAATTTTAATTTATATATTCAAGGTTATAAATTAGTAACAATATAGACTTGACCCAAATTATCGTTCAATTTTTCGTCATAAATTAAAACATCTGATTCGCAAGTACTTTGAACATAAACTTATGTGTAAATTTACAAATTGTTGGTGCTTAATGTGAGTCGTGTGTGTGTGTGTATCTATATATATATATAAGGTTATACTCTATTTAATTAATCATAGACGAATAGTGTCAAATTAATCATCGATGAATATCTGCATAAATGAACATATTTCATCCTAATGTTCAAAACACTTACACTTCACGGGCTTCAATATATAATGAAAAATTGAAAGACAATCTGAATCAAATCCACATTATTATCGATTCATAATATTAAGAGTATAAAATTAGATTTTTAATGTTTGGAGCTATAAATTAAAAATCAAAACATATTTGGGGGTGCAAAGTAAAATTAACCCATTAGAAAATGACATGTGATAATCATTCAATTTTCTCAACAAGCTTGTTCTATCAGAATTGAATGATTCCTATTTCATAATTTAGTTTATTTATGAGCAATGTTGTTATAAAGAATTAATAATTGAAAGACCCAGTTCAATGTAATAATTAAATTAGTTTTTTTTGTCATCGTTTGACACATCAACTACTATGGACGCAATAGTAATTTTTCTGGGTCTCTTCCATCTTCTCTCTCTGTCCCATGAAGAACTTCGGCGGTTTAAAAATCAACGGCAGAGGAGTCAGATCCCTATCTCTCTCTCTCTCTCTCTCTTATTATTACCACCTCCTATTTGACAAGCTAGGGGCTCTTGAACACAAAAATACATGTACATAATTAAAAAAAGTGAAATACGAAAAGAGTTAAATATAACAGTGTGAAGAGATCAATAAAGATAAATGATTATGAGGTAATATAAATATTTTATCATAAATATAGATTTATTATCACATACTCTTATGTCATAAAAAACAAAAAACAAAATCAGGACTTCAATTGTTCTCTCGTCTAGTTCTTCACTCTCTCATGAAAAATAATGTTTACCCATAGTTCTTACTCACTTTCAATTGTGACTAATAACAATGAAAATAAAAAAAAAAACAATAAATAATACATTACGGACTCGTTTGGTTGCCGTATTACAAATGGATAAATTAGATAAAATAATCTAGTTTAATACAATACAGAATGACAAAAGACAAAATTAAGTATGATATTAGAATAATACGTAATTTTATCTAGTATTTGATAATACACAATATAAACGTTAAATAATAATTATTTAATTCAATTGATTGTTTGGTTAATGAATTATTTTATGATATTAATGTTGAATTAACAAAAATCTCTCGATCAGTGTTTATTACATTGATAACAATTTAATTTTATTAGTTTGGGATTATAATGGTAAACATATAAAATAATATGTTTAAGTTAAATTATAATATATCTTTTGGTGGTATTAAAATATCTCCATAATATAGGTCTAACATATAAAAAATATATTATAAATATACAATTGGATACGTTTTTGAAATTAATACGATATTAAATTTTTTTATCAAATAAAATATTAAACTTAATTAAATAAAAAATTGTATAATATAATATTTAATTCTCTCTACCAAACAGGTCTTACAGGTTGCAAAAGTGACTTGTTCAGGAAAACACCGAAGTTTCGTAGTAACCTCCTCCCGCTTACTCCAACGCTGCCAAGAAAGAAACATTTTCAACCACATATATATATTTTATATATATATATATAGGAAAAATTACATCTAAACCTTCATGTATCACATAATCACTTAAATTTTCAAACATTTAAAATATTACATACAAACTCTTAAATTTGTACGTGTATAACATTTAAACCCATACCGTCAATATTAATTAAAATATCTGTTAATAAATTATAGGATTAATCTCATTTTGCACCCTAAAAGATTGTTCAAATCTCAATTTGTACTCCTAAAGATCAAAAATTTCAATTTGCACCATCAAAGATAGAAATTTGTATCAATGTGCATTCCCAAAGATAAAAAATCTCAATTTTCACCCTCAAAGATAAAAATTTGTATCAATGTGCACCTAAAATTAAATTGATAAATTATACCTAGATCTCCTCATGTTTGTCACTTAATCATTTGAACTCCTTCACATTTAGAATATTCCCCTTACATCTCATGACGTTTGTGCATGTATAACACATAACCACTTTTTATTGATATCTGTTAATATAATCGTTAAAAAATATGATTTTATCCGAATAAAAAATTATAATTTCATATTACCTTTTATTTTGTAGATTCGATATACTCTAAAGTTAAAAATCAATTTTACCATTTGAATGTCTATTAAAATGTAGATATTTATATAAAAGGTAATATGAAAAACATTATATAAATATTTACATTTTATTAGACATTCAAATGNCACTTCTTTCTCGGTTCAACCCCAATCGTCCTTTTCTTTTCTGATTTTTACAGTGTTTTCTTACTCTCCTCCCATTTGTTTAACTGATTTTGTGATTTTACGGAGATTTTTTGGTGTTTTTACTGACATGCTCTGGTTCAGTAGAATGATTTGTTGCTATGTTTTTGATTCGTGTGTAAAAAAGGTGTGCACTACGTAACATGCGGCGACCAAGGCACGAACAGACCGATCGTTGTCGGAGACGTAGATTCGACAAAACTCCGACAAAAGTACAACAACAACGACAAAAAAGAGAATGGGCCACAAACAGTTGAGTTGAAAAGAGGTAAAAAGGATGAAATCTTCTCTCCGTTGCCGAAGAAACACGAGGATGAGGATGAGGAAAAGAAAGAGAATCGCGGTGGCAGAGAAGGGAATAAGAAGAAAGAGGCCAAAGACGAGCCAAAGGAAGAACCACAAGTGAAGAAATTCAAGGAGGTAGCAGTGATCTCTCTCTCTGTCTCCCCCCCCCCTCTCTCTCTCTCTCTCTCTCTCACTGGGTGGTTGTTTTCGTGTTTGGTTGCAGGAGAAGAGCAAGAACAAGGATGGAGAGAAGAACAAGGATAAGCAGAATAACAGAAAGAAAACCAACAAAGACGATGGAAGAAATAAGGACGACAAGCAGAGAATCACTATGATTCTGAAACAGGGTTTCCATTGTGTAGACTGCGCATCCAAAGTCATGAAATACATTCGTGGTCTTGAGGGTACACAATTATACATATTATTGAAGTTTTTGCTGCTAAATTGTGACTCAATATAACAATTTGTTGCTATATGTATTGGATTTTTGTATACACAAAGGTGTTGAATCTGTGAATGGCGACAGCTGGGACCAGAACAGACTCACTGTGATCGGAAAAGTAGATCCCATAAAACTCCAAGAAATGGTTGAACAGAAAACGCACAAGAAGTTCACACTGTCCTGCGACGTCTGTCTATTACCGGAGAAAGACGAGGACGACAACAAAGAGAAAGGTGGTGCTGGAGAAGAGAATAGGAACAAAGAGGCTAAAGACAAGCCAAAGGCAAACCAAGATAAGAATTCCAAGGTTAGGCTTATCTATTTGCTTATACCAATTCTTTTATGACCGTGTATATCTGTGTCTAATCAAATTCATAACAACTCATGTACTGAACGGATTTGACCAATTTATCATTACAACTCACGAAGTCTATAACTTCGTGTTGATTTTATGTAGGATTAATTTGTGGAGAAAATGACCGTCAGGCCTAACCGAATTGTTTTGTGGTTGCAGCAACCGGTGACGACAGCAGTGCTGAAGGTGCATTTGCACTGTGAACGGTGTGAAGGATCTATCAACAAGATCAAGAAAATAATCAGCAATATGGAAGGTGAGGTTAACAAACACCAATTTTTCTGAACACGTACAGTTGTGTGTACATGTACGGATGTAGCAGAGCTTAACGGAGAGTTAACGGCATTTTCAGGGAATCATAAGGTGATCATAGACTGCGCACAGGATCTGGTGATAGTCAAAGGTTCAATGGACATGAAAGCTCTAGGCCAATCACTGAAGCAGCAGCTGAAGAAAGACGTTCAGATTGTTTTAACTAAGGAGGACGGCAAGGAAAAAGAAAAAAAATGTGGCGGTGACAGTGGTGGAGATGGTGAGAAGAAACGAAAAAGCGGTGGCAAGAAGAAAGAAAAAGGCAGTGGTGCAGAGGAGGAGAGTGGCGGAGAAGAAAAAAAGGGCAGTGAATGTGGCAGTGATGATGACAAAGCAAGCAAAAACAAGGAAAGAAGCGGTGGTGAGAAGGAAAAGGAGGGCGGAGATAGAAAAACTAGTGGTGAAGTTGGCGGAGAAGGTGGTGAACAGGTGGAGCAGTACTGGCAGATGTTCAGTGATGAGAACACGAATTCATGCTCCATTATGTGAAATATGGGTATCCCCTTGATCATTCTAAACCAAATCATAATTAAACTTAAAGTTGATCAATTATTTTGATTTCTTCAATTGCAGATGTTTCAATTCTTAATCACACTTGTCCGTCATTTCCATGCTCAATAAGGAAAGACCCACAACAGATTAACAAATGACCCATTCGTATCCATTCCCTGTATCATATGTGCATTGAAGATGACGACACCTAACTCATTCATATTCATTGCAAAAAAAAAAAAAATGAAATTTTAAATGCTCCGCAGAGATCTGGAATGGGATTACTTTCAAAATCATGACCGTCCAATACACTACATTCTTCACACGCAATTTGTCGAACACCTTACGCACGTGCCCGTAAGTGGAGGTCCGTCAGGTATCTCCTGGACAAATATATCTTNATGGCCCCGCAATCATGACCGTCCAATACACTACATTCTTCACACGCAATTTGTCGAACACCTTACGCACGTGCCCGTAAGTGGAGGTCCGTCAGGTATCTCCTGGACAAATATATCTTCAGAAAATCTTCTTTTAATNAATTTAGGTGGACATTGATACAAATTTCTATTTTTGAGGGTACAAATTGAGATTTTTTATCTTTGGGNACGCACGTGCCCGTAAGTGGAGGTCCGTCAGGTATCTCCTGGACAAATATATCTTCAGAAAATCTTCTTTTAATAGCTGGCAAATGCGCAGGTAGGTGAGCCAAGGCGTGGGGGATGCTGGCGGCGAGACTGATCAGGAGTGGAGAAATAAGAGAGAGATGGGGCTATTGTGGTGGGGGGGGGAAGAGAGTGGAGGGGAGGAACTTGGGTGCGTCTGTTCAGCAAGACAATATTAGAAAATACAAGAAAAAAATAAAATAAAATTTTACATGCNTTTTCTGAACACGTACAGTTGTGTGTACATGTACGGATGTAGCAGAGCTTAACGGAGAGTTAACGGCATTTTCAGGGAATCATAAGGTGATCATAGACTGCGCACAGGATCTGGTGATAGTCAAAGGTTCAATGGACATGAAAGCTNTCTTTAAGAGTGTAAATTAAGATTCGAACAATCTTTCAAAGTGCAAAATGAGATTATCCTAAATTATACTGTCAATATTATCTATATAATCAGTATAACCTGAGAGCCAATCAATCTCGCTCTCTCACACACACACACTGTTGTTTTTGTGTTTGATTGCAGAACAAGAGCAAAANGCGTTTGTTTGTAATAAAATAAAAAGTAATAAAAAAAATAATTATCTTCCGTATTTATATTTTCTAACGTCTAACTAACTTTATTTTCTTGCAAAAAATATAAGAAAAAATAAGAAAATTATATTCAATAACATAACTTCCTATTTAACGCTTATTTTTCNTTCGACAAAACTCCGACAAAAGTACAACAACAACGACAAAAAAGAGAATGGGCCACAAGCAGTTGAGTTGAAAAGAGGTAAAAAGGATGAAATCTTCTCTCCGTTGCCGAAGAAACACGAGGATGAGGAAAAGAAAGAGAATCGCGGTGGCAGAGAAGGGAATAGGAAGAAAGAGGCCAAAGACGAGCCAAAGGAAGAACCACAAGTGAAGAAATTCAAGGNCGCTTATTTTTCTTAAAATATTCAATTAGTTATTAATTATAAAAAATTTTGTACAAATTAGGTTATCCATATAATTTGGTCTAGAAATTAGGAATCGAGTCGACTCTTGTCCCTGAATTAGGTTAGGAGCCATTTTTTAAAAAATTTGAATAATTAAAANCTCTTATTTTTCTTAAAATATTCAATTAGTTATTAATTATAAAAAAGTTTGTACAAATTAGGTTATCCATATAATTTGGTCTAGAAATTAGGAATCGAGTCGACTCTTGTCCCTGAATTAGGTTAGGAGCCATTTTTTAAAAAATTTGAATAATTAAAAATATTTTTGCTTCTTTAGACCGAGTTAAAATAATTAAGGATAATTTTGACAATTAAGAAAAAATTCTTCTAACTTTTCTTTCTTTCAAACAATAGAATTAAATTGTTTTAAAATTTTCTTAGAATTTTTTTAATACTAAATAAATGCATACATAAAAATATATTTTCTTTTACTCTCTTTTCTTTCACTTCACTTTTTATTTTTTTCCCTTTCTATCATTTTATTTTTGCTAAACAAATGGACCCTTGAGGTTTCAAATGCGGGAAAGTGGATGGAAATTATACTTGATTGTTATATTTGATTGGGCGGAAAAAAGGAAAATTTTGGGCAAAAACTCAAATTTTGGGAGTGATTTTTAGTCATTAGATTACTTTTGAATCTGTTTTGAAATAATTTGAATCGTGAAAAATAAAAATTATTTTTTATGTCTTGGATAATTTAAAATCATTCATTATATATTATATCAATGCTTTCGTGACTAAAAAAATAGGATTAATTGCAGTAGAAATTTCTAAAGTACGAGGTTTATCTTATTTTGATCCCTAATATTTAAATTGCATCATTTTAATCCTTAAAATATTGAATATGTTTCTATATGGTCCTTCAAACAGACAACGTCCATATTGCTCACGATTTTTTTTCATAAACTTGTCACGTAATAACTAAATATGTACAAAAAATAATTTTAATAGCTCTTAAATAAAATTTGGGTAGTTTTTGACAAAAAAAATGTGTAATATGAGTAGTTTTCGACCAAAATTTAGATAACTCATAATTAAAAATGTGTAATTTAAGTAGGTACTTAACCAAAATTTGAGTATAAATTTGGTCAAGAGCTATCTAAATTATTTTTTTATTCATATTTAAATATCATGTGACAAGTTTGTGATAAAAAATTATTAGCAATCTGAACACTGTCTGCTTAAGGGACCATATAGAAGCATATTCAATACTTCAGGGACCAAAATGAGACAAATTTCATACTTTGGGGACCTGCAGTGCAATTAACCAAAAAATATATATATATTAGAGTATCTTCAACCATAACTCAAATTTAAATTAATATTTGAATAAAAAGCTTAATTTGATATAAAAGACTCCAATGGACAAACTCAAATTTAAAAAAGGAGAGACCTAAATTTAAATGAGGGTAAATTCAAATTTAAAAAAGAGTAAGGATGACCTTTGGATCTTTAAAAGATTGTAAAATCTCACCATTAAAGATTTGAATCTCTCTTGATTTGAGTAAAAAATGAGTTTTAGTTGATTTGGTATAAGTTTGAGTCAGGGTTAGAACAAGTTTTTTAGACTTTTTTACTCAAATTTAATTTGAGTTAGGGTTGAAGATGCCTTTCTATATATGTAATTCGATTTGTTGACAATCTTACCTCTAACTATGTTCATTGGTTTCCCATTGCTTCCTCAACTCTTATACTAAATGTCAAACTAAGGTTACTGATTTTAGTTGTCTCCTCAACTATAATGTTATCTTATTACACTTTCAACTATAATAATTAATTTCATAGATAAAAAAATTATTTATTTTTCTACAAACATTCACATATTATTCACCAAAATATGACGCCAATTTGAATATAATGTGAAAAACTTAATAATTTCGGGGGTAAAATAAGATCCAGACCACATTGATGAAGAAGTCAAAGTATGATTTTTCTTCTCCTTTGTGTGACACTACATGTGACAGGAGTTTATGTCATATGAATTTATTCTCAGTATCATCCAACAACATTTATGTGGCTAAATTTCGGACACGATCCAGCAGGACCAGACCAGACCTGCAAAATCGCACATACTCACAAACTCCAACCATTGCATACTTACTTTGAAGTTTGAAATATTGGTCAATATTTATACGAATCGATTCGATTTAATTTGTGTCCTATCTAATTCGGGCCCCACAAGACTCGGGTCGAGTCATGCGAAAGGTCTTTGGGTCAGTTGGTCAAAATCATTTTGTAGNTAATCCAACAACATTTATGTGGCTAAATTTCGGACACGATCCAGCAGGACCAGACCTGCAAAATCGCACATACTCACAAACTCCAACCATTGCTTGCATACTTACTTTGAAGTTTGAAATATTGGTCAATATTTATACGAATCGATTCGATTTAATTTGTGTCCTATCTAATTCGGGCCCCACAAGACTCGGGTCGAGTCATGCGAAAGGTCTTTGGGTCAGTTGGTCAAAATCATTTTGTAGTGAAGCGTCTGATTTTTAGCTCCTTTTTCATGTTTATCTCTTCATATTAATTTGTGATGTGATGCTACGACTAAGACGTCTCAATGCTATTCGAGTTAATTATCAATATCGTGCCCTTAAATTATTACGTTAGAAGTTCACCGCAGATAAGGTCGGTTCGTTCACATCTATGAAATACGGATATAAATATAAAATATGAATACCATACGAATATAAAAATATAATAAAATAAAAAAAATAATATACAAGTACAGTTATGATACATCCATAAAATATATATTTTTAAAAANGCATTGCCTTGTATAACTCTAAATGTCTCATAATTTAATCAAATCACTGCTAAATTAGTTGTTAAAGCTTCATTGCAATGTATTTTTGTTCTGTTTTTCGATTGCTTGTGTAATTGCATTCCTAGATCAAAAAAAAAAAAATTACTAGAATTATCAATGATCACAAACTCTTATTAAAAATCAAAATTTTAAGACAGGTTACNAATTATTACGTTAGAAGTTCACTGCAGATAAGGTCGGTTCGTTCGCATCTATGAAATACGGATATAAATATAAAATATGAATACGATACGATACGAATATAAAAATATAATAAAATAAAATAAAAATAATATACAAGTACAGTTATGATACATCCATAAAATATATATTTTTAAAAATTTTATTATTATATTTAATATAATAATTATAATTTATAAAGTGAATCACACATCTATCAAAGATATATAATAATAATTAACTATCAGAGTCAGTCGATCGTCAATGTTAGTGAGTGAGAGAGACGATTGTCGTCGAGTATCGACTGAAGGGAGTGGGGGGCTTGACGGGCTGTGGAAAACAAGTGTACAAGTTTTAGATATTTAGTTTAATAATATATATATATTTTTGCAAATAAAGACCTAAATATATTGTTCATGTGCCCCTATACTTTTTTAAAATTTGAGTAATATCTCGTCGTATCTTTATGCGTATCCTAGG